TTTGAACGTATTAGTGTTCTCCTGATTCTCAACCTTTTCTTTATGCACTATATGGTAACTGCTTCTAGGGCAATTCTTTTGGCTAGAATTTCACCCAAGAAATTTCTTGGCATCCCATACTGCTGCTATTGGAAGTTCGACTAAAGAAAGTGTCACTTGAGGATATTAGAAAAAAGGGTAATTGGCGCAAAACGTCCCTACCTATGACGGGTTGTGTGCAAAACGTCCCTACGTTTGAATTTTTGGTGCAGAACGTCCCTACCTTTGCATTTTCTTGCGCAAAACGTCCTTCCGTCCAACTCCCGTTAGAATCCACCGTTAAATAAAAGGGTAATTGGCGCAAAACGTCCCTACCTATGATGGGTCTTGTGGAAAACGTCCCTACGTTTTTTTTTGGTAAAATTTCGATAATTTTGATTTCTTTAGCTATATAACCCGGTCTGTGGGTTATTTTCGGATTCATTAATTGAAGGGTAATTGGCGCAAAACGTCCCTACCTATGACGGGTTGTGTGCAAAACGTCCCTACGTTTGATTTTTTGGTGCAGAACGTCCCTACCTTTGCATTTTCTTGCGCAAAACGTCCTTTTCACCAATTTTTAAAATAAAATGACTATTATACCCTCATATATAAATTAAAAAAAAAAGAAAAGAAAAGAAAAGAAAAATAAATAATAAATTGCAATATGCTCATAAAATTTTTTTTAAGTGCAAATCAGTCCAAGATAATTGCAAGAAAAATGGCTCACTTCATCATAATTGCACCCAAGCCCCCGTCCCCAACCAAAAATTGAAAACCCTATCTTTTCCCACTCCAGAGACGGAAAATAGGGCCATTTTGTTCTTATTTGTTGCCTTTATTGCTCTCTCTGTTTTCTTGAACTCCAGCACTGCTCATTCCCACTCCAGAGATCCTTTCAAGTCCATCTTAGGTCAGACGGAGAAGATGAAATCAAGAAGAGCAGCAATCATGGGATCACTCAGAAAATTCCAGCAAGAAATTGAATCATTTACTATGATCACAGGCCTTAGTAAAATCAGTAGAGAATAATTGAATTTTTGGTATTTTTCCCCTTCTTTTTCTTGTAAAATTCCAATGGACAAATCACTTTGAAATAAAAAAATTGCAGTTGATGAGATTGGATTCCTTGTTTCTTAAACAAGCGTCTGGTGTGCTTTATGTAAATTATTGTGCAGTTCTTCAGTATAACATAACAAATACATTTAGCAAACGATATTTGTTAGTATTTTTCTTCTTCTTTTTCACTGGACAAATCGGTTCAGTAATCTTTTCGTGATTCTTGATAATTGAATTGAATCGGTGTTTTCTTGGTGATTTTTGGCTTGTTAATGTAATAATAGCAAGTTCTTGGATTTATTTATGCTTTTCTTGGTGATTTTGGCAACTGGGCTTCCATATTTTTTGGCGATATGCGGCTTCTTGGATTTTTGTTTGTTTGTGATATTCATTAAGGCTAAAATTTTAAGGGGATGCGTAATTATGTTAGTTTTGGGCTGTGAAAATTTTGATTGTCTTCTTTTATAACTGCAAATGTTGGGGGGAAAAGATAGGGTTTTCAATTTTTGGGTGGAGATGGGGGCTTGGGTGCAATTATGATGAAGTGAGCCATTTTTCTTGTAATTATCTTGGATTGATTTGCATTTTAAAAAAAGTTTAGGAGTATATTGCAATTTATTATTTATTTTTCTTTTCTTTTCTTTTTTTTTTTAAATTTATATATGAGGGTATAATAGTCATTTTATGTTAAAAATTGGTGAAAAGGACGTTTTGCGCAAGAAAATGCAAAGGTAGGGACGTTCNATATGATGGTATAATAGTCATTTTCTGTTAAAAATTGGTGAAAAGGACGTTTTGCACAAGAAAATGCAAAGGTAGGGACGTTTTGCACCAAGAAATCAAACGTAGGGACGTTTTCCACACAACCCGTCATAGGTAGGGACGTTTTGCGCCAATTACCCTAGAAAAAATCATTATTCTGGTTGTTTTATAGGGTCCTACTATTCTCTTTAACTATCTTGTCGATTCTAGATTAATTGTACTGCATGGTTTTAAAACAATATGGTAACATCTGCTGACCTCGGAATCTGCTTACGCATTTTCTATTCAACCACTATGAATCTGTGTGTATAATCATATGCATGTTTCTGATTTTGTTTTTGGAATATTCAAATGATGATTGATTAGGACTTCAATCCCCGATAAAGATGAACGATTTTGTATTTGGGTTGCAGCCTGAAAGATCTCCACCAGAGGTGCAACAAAGAACTGGATTTTTTTTTTTTTTTTTTTTNTTTATCCAGGTATCCTAACTTACACTAGACTATATCCTGGACCACCCATCCCCGGCCCCTCAGTGTTGGGTGGAGGTTAATCGCGGGATATGCCCAAATTGACTAGGGTCTGTGCACCCTTTATACTCCTGGCCCCAAGGGAGCCTTCCTCCATGGATATTACATCACCAAACTGCTCCATCCAAATTGAAATGTGTCGTAAAGAACAAACAGAGTTCGAGAAAGCATGCCCGTTTGATTAAACAACGAATGTACTCCAATCGTATGAACGGAATAATTTCACCACATCTGCAACAAGTGGATTCTTATTTTGAATGTAGCTTCGATTTATCTGTTTCTGATTTGGATTCCACCATTCTGAATGATAAGAGATTTTCATGGATTTGCTTTTAAATGCCAAAGACATGCTAGCTCCTTCCTTTCCAATGTCAAGTGTTCATTTCTGGTATGTTTTACCGGGATGTTTATTTGTCTCGTTGAGTTCATCTTAAGACACCATGCAATTCAAACTCTTTTAGGAAATGCATTTGTTAACATTTTATTTGTCCTAAAAATAACTTCTGAGGAGGATGCAATGCAAATATTTATCTACGTATATTAAGATTGTAAATTTAACAAAATACAATTTCGTTTTATTAATTGAAAATGCCATGTAATATTTAACAAATGTTTTAAAAAGAACACAATTTTAAAAAAAAAAAAGTTGAGTAACTATATTCACGTTTCAGTTTTACTTGTTGCATCATATTTTAATCGTAACAAAGTTTTTAACATTTGTTCAGCGTGGCACTTTTACAATTTGTTCGTCCAATTCTTATCTTTGATATTCATTTAATTAACATAATTTGTCTCTAATTACAAATTCTATCCAAATATTAGGTTAGCGTGGCATCTGTATCGAGATAGCACTTTGAATTTGCTGGAGAGTTCAACGACATGGCTAAAATCTGATGTGCAAGAGGATTATCCTGATACGAGAGATTCAACAAATGATAAAATTGGATTGCTCATGTGTGTGGCAAAGATGTCCCCTGACAAATCATAGAATCGGAGGGCTTTTCACCGAGAACAAGAATATCATCGGAGCCTTGACGCCGTTCTATGACTATAAGGAACAAATATTTTGTTAAAACTTTTCTATTTGTAATTTTTTGCTTATTTAAAAATACGAATGATTTTTTTGGATGAAAATCATGATCATGGAACACGTGTAATTAGTGACAGTTTTTTTTTTCTTTTTTGCTAATTAATGACAGATTATGAGTAAGAATGCTACGAAAAAGAGTTGAGAAACTTAATTATAATTAAAATGTGACGTAACAAACAAAGACTATGACGTGAATATAATTGCCAAACAAAAACGTTTCAGGTGCCATTTTGCAAATTGTACTTTTTAGGCGGGCCTTTTCAAGTAAAAGGCTAGAGCCTAGAGGGATCGTCCACACGCAGAAGGCCACCAGCCCAGCAGTAATGTCTCATAGCAACAGGTTCTTGTTCACGAATGGCGTCGTATCACCGCCACCAGACACCCCACCAGTCACAACCTTACTCGAAGCACACCCTGGTACGCATTCCTCCAATTTCCCTAAAAATTCCCATTTCTTTGATATCCTTTTTTTACGCAGAAAGGATTTCAAACTGAGAAAGAATTAATGAACTTTCAGGTGCATATACGACGACTCGTACTCATAGTAACGGTTCAGAACTCTTGTTCTGGGGTAGACATTTAACCAGATTGTCGAATTCTATAAAAATATTATTAACTACCCGCCCTAAACTTCTGTTTGAAAACCCAGAGAAAAATGGGGTTCCGTTTTTGGGATTTTTGACACGATCGGTGAATTGGGATTCTGCGATTGAGGTTTTAGTTAATGATTCGATTAGAAAATCATTGCCTACTGCGTTGAAAGAGAGGAAATGTGGGGAGGAGTTGGCGATTACGGCACTTGTGAGTGGGAATTTGGAGAAACTAAGTGATTCTGGTGGTGAGTTTGATGAAGAAAGTATTTGTGAGTTTTTGGATGTATATTTGCACATAGCTGGGTATGTTCCGCCACTATATGGCGTTCCAGGAAATGGAGCACGTTTGGCTGTTGTAGGGCCTGGAAGGGATGTTGCCAATGCAAAGTATTCGGATTGGGTCAGGTAATTCTGTGTTAATGAGAATGCTAAATTGCATATTCCTTTTTTGTTGTTTATCTTAGCAAATCTAACTTAATACATGTGTAAATGAGAATGCTACATTGCATATACATAGAACAGTTTTTCGGTTTGGACAATGTTTAATTTAATTTTATAGGTAGGCTAAGGAAGTGTTTGGAGAAGCTGAGACCACCTTCTATTACCGAACTTTTATTGTCAAGTGATGGTGATCGAATTTTGGAAGGCTGTTTGACAAATTTTTTTGTTATTTGTCTGAAGGTGAGAGGTTAAATTTTGCTATATGTTAATAAATTGTCTTTAGCTTTTGCTGGCTCGGGTTATGAATTGACTTTTGCTAAGAATAGGATGAGATGTATGCTGTTTTGAAGTATTAAGTTTGTATTGGTAAAATTGATCTAGAGACTGCACCATCATTATGAATTTCATTCAATTTAAGAACTGCGGGAAGGAAGTAGGAGTCTTTACTATACGTAATATGAGTGGATGTGCATATATTCATCTGCTAGTTTGGTCTTTATATTAACTTGCTTTACTGTTATACCTGTGGCGCACTTTTTAGTAAATACAAACTGCCCAAGAGACTTCTAAGACCATGTTTACGCATAATCAGATCCATCAGAAATTGAGGGATTCTTTAGGTGAAACTATAGTGGTTTCTCAAGTTTCCCTGATAGTTGATTGAATTAGACAGTAAACAACTATGTAGAGACAACTGTACTTTTATACCCTATAAATATTTGTCAGATCAAACCTTTTATTGGAAGGACTTGTAAATTTAAGTTTAAATTGAACTTCTTTTTGTCCGAGGGTCATGGCTTTTATAGTCATTTAGTTCTTATTTTAATGTTTGGCTTCTCTATAAAATCATGATTTCAGGACAAAAATGAAGACAATAATTTTGCTGAGAAGAAAGGCTCGCAAACATTTAGATCTGTTGAGATTCAGACAGCTCCTGTCGCTGATGGCATTCTTCCTGGAGTTATACGCCAAGTAATCACTCAGTAAGTTAGTTTATTTCAACTAGTCATCCCCCAACCCACCCCCTGTGCGAACCCTGGTCCGGCTCGGCCCTTTTTTAGGTGTGCTGAGGTAGCCGCCTCCTGGGCCATGGTTTTTCATATTTTTTTTCAAAAATATAAATTCTATATGTTGTCTCGGGAACCACCAAGTGTTCCTTTGGACTCTGCACCTAGGAATGAATACCCTCTGGTGTCCTTATAAACTTTTTTTCTTAAATAAATGGTCCCGGACACAGTACGGTTGAGCTACATGTCCCTACTGCATGGCCCTGTTGTAGGTTTGGGTCAATCCACAGCTTGGGTGGGCCGGGCCTTTAACGTGTCGACACATTTTGACACATCTATGCAGGTAATGGAAGAAAAAAAGAAATATTAACATCATATGTAAAGGCTTATCTCGTGCTGAAAGAGACTAATATTTTAAAGAATATATATGCGATCAATTATCTAGCTCCCCCAAATTACAATTTAAGTTTGTGCAGAATATGCTTGAAAATTGGAATCCCTCTTCGAGAAGTTGCACCATCTTGGTCACATCGTGAGTTGTGGGTGGAAGCATTCATCACTAGTAAGTTTGTTAGTCATTTCCTACAACACTACAATAGCATTCTGTTTTGATTTTTTAAGAACCATCTGTTAAAATTTCAGAAGTTGTGTCCTTTTAACTTGACTATTTCGAGGTTTAATCTCTTTTACAAGTCTCCTATTTCCATAAAGTTTGAAGTTTTATTGTCATTTTCCAGTTTCCCTCTCACGTTTTTGAGATGAAATATCTACCTTTAATGTTGATTGAGTCACTATTAATCTTGAAAAACAATGATTTTCTGGCATACTGAGATGCCAAATAAACTCACTCACTTGAATTAAGATATAGAACACAATTATGGTTATGTAGATAATCAGATTTTTGGTCCATGGCGCATCAAGGTTATTCTGTGGATTGATTTAGCATTTTATGGGGTGAAAAAAAATTAACTTCCCTTTAAATTTCCTTTTTCCTCGTGGAAAGAATATACTATGTTTGTAGTTATTTGATGGGTCCAGAAGTTTTAAGTCAGGCTATATTGCAGATAGCCTTAGGGTGCTACAGCATGTTGACACAATCCAAGTTCCGGATTCATGGGAATCAGTGGAATCGAAAACATGGAAGGAGATAACATGGGTTGAGAAACGATTTGAGGTGTGTGATCTTCTAATGATAGTGCAACAAATAGGAGTTTAACCTGCTGTAGAGAACTAACTGTTCTGTGGCACTTTCTGTTTGGATATCAGGATGGGCCAGGGAGGATCACATCAATCATCCAGGTATTTGGATAGCTTGCTTATATCTTGCCTACCACTGTTTGATACATGGTAGTTTTTATATGATCAGCCGTTTCTGGAGAATGGTGTGGTTGGTATATTTTTTGGAGGGTTAAATACATGGATGGGCACTAAACTTCATTTTGTTTCAAGATGGTCACTGATCTTAAACACTTATATAATTGAAAGGTTATGTTGCATTTATCAATTTAATAAAAATGGTCGAAATGATCAAATCGTAACAAACTTTAAGTTCAGTTATCTACTTGGACAAAATGAAGTTTAGGGACCAAACTTGAGATTTCTCTTATAGTTTAGTGACCACCAGGGTATATAAACCACTGTTTGGCATTTTGACAAAACATGAAAATGAGGTGGAGGATGTATTTTCTGCGTTGCATATCAATGCATTCAACATTTTTTTTATTACATTTTTTTTTTTAAACTTTCGAAGGTCTCATGGGAAAAATGAAAGATTCTTTTGTCAACATTTGATGTAATTGGAAAAAGCTATGCACCATTTGGAACAATATGCCTCGGCGAAAGCTGGAATTTGAAAGTTTGTGCCATTTGATCTTATTTCTTTGCTGAGCCATAAGCAAAAGAAATAAGACGTGAAAACTTCTGTTTCTAAGATGAACCTCCTACAACATTTGGCAACTCCAAGTCTCCTACAACATTTGGCTATGCTTGAGAAAGGAAAAGAAACTGAAAAAAATTTCTCATGGCATTGTAAAATCCAGTCCGATAGAATGTATGCCCTCTAAGTAGTTAATAGATGCCATAAACTCTTTGAGGCGAGTAATTTTCTTAGCTTTTTGTTGCATTTGAGCAGAGGGAGATCATGGAAAAAGCAGGAATTGAAACATTTCCAGTAGCTTCACTTAACTCAAAGTGAAGACGTGTTATCCCTGACCCGGAGACTGGCTCTCTCAACGAGCAAAGGAGGCCCCATGTGGACTGTATTGGCACTTACATGAAGTTCTGTTGATTTAATGGCTTTGGTAATGTGTCTCTGTAAGCCAAAATTGTTAGGCAGAAGGCTTTTCGTTTTTCTTGTGAATGGTTGTTCTTTAATTATGGAACTTCAGTTGAAACTTTGCCTCTAAGCACGAATCATTTTCTAGTGTGAGTTTTGGTATAATGTGCAATTGTATGTTTTGAGGCTTAATATTACCATTTCAGAATGACTAGGATTAGACTGAAAAAGGTTGTCGATAGTGTCTTGAGCAAATCAAACGAGATTATTGAACGCAAATAGACGGAATGAGACAACGGGAGAGATTTGCGCAAAGAATAATCATTCTGAGGACTTAAATGTCAAAGTGAAACAATAAGAAAGATTTGCTTAATGTGAATAATTATATAGACGTCTTGTGCCAATTATCCTTTTTTGAAGTCCCATTTGCAAGTAAAAAGCAAAAAAGCAATTCAAGGATAAATAAAACTATAGATAAATGAAGGGAGAAATTGAAAAGGGCCTGCGGTTTTAGCTGGGCTAGAGCTTCTCTATAGAGGGAAAATTAGGCCCAGTACGGCCTTTGAAAAGAAAAATTGAACAATACTCTAAATTAATGTTTTATCACTAAACCTTTAAATTAACAGTAATTAATACGCTAAAAAACACCCAAACTTGATGAATAGAAGTCATTTTCCTGAAATAACAAAACACTCCTCCCTGTTGAAGAAGCCAATTTCGTCAAAAATCAACACCGAATAACAGTGCCAATTTTCAGCCATCTATCTCACTTCTATTTGAATTTCATGATTAGATTTAGTTTAAACCTTATAGTATAAATAATTAACATCTATAAAGTTTTTTTTTTGATGATTTTGTTATTTTGTTTGGAAACACGTTTGAAAAAATAGTTTTGAATCCGTTAAATTTTTTATGCATGTAAGGTGTTTGACAAAAGGATATTGTGAATTCTTTTCTATGAAAAAGTGACATTCTCAAAAAAAAGTCACACGCCCTCCCCAATTTTGTGATCCTTCAACCCCTTTTTTCCCAATTTTTGAATTATGTCACTTTTTTGAAAAAGTAAAAAAGTGACAATTTTTATAAAAAAGTGACATTGTGTCACTTTTTTCATTTTATACAGTATTTTTTATTTCCTAAAAATCTTTCACATAATTTTTCAAAACACTCCTAATTTTAAGGGTATTTTTGTAAGTACCCCTTCCAAAATTGGAACCCACTAAACGGCGCCCATGTTGGAGTTGAGCCTTGCTTGCTTACTGAATTAGCCCAACCCATTGGAATTTGGACAGGCCCATTTCTTGAACACACGTGATCATCACATGTCCAACTACGTAGGACACGTGACAAGCACGTGAGCCTAATCATTCATTTGAAAGCAGAGGCGCCCTTTGAGATTTACAAATAGTCAAATACTTTTTTCTCTGTATAAATACCTCACGACGTTCACCATCATTTCTTGCCAGCTTCACTTAACCCACCAATCCCCTGTCCCACCTTGGTCAAATTTAAAAAGATAGAGCCAGAAAACAACATTTTTTTTAGGCAAAATAAATTAGAATAATAATTTTTTTTTTTTTTAGTTTGTTTGATAAAACTCTTATCGACTTTTCAATTGGTCAAACTACCCACTCCTCGAAATGCATTGAAACACAACAATTAATTTGATATTTTGGGGGTAAAACACTGTTTCAATGTAAGCAGTTAGAACAATATCAAATCACGATAAACTTCGAATACTAGATATGACCTCAAAAGAAATTGTCTAAAGCTACTATTCAATACAATATAGTACATGTACATATCATCAATATAGGCGACTTTAGTAATTTATTGAAATAAAATGTCTTTTTTACATAACCATTTGAATAATGTTATTTCATAGTAAAGACTATCGACAGTCTTCACTAAAAATAACATTACTCTAATTATTTATATCATGTGTTACATAGTGATAATGTGTCAAAATGTTAGTGGAAAGTTATTTGATTGATGAGATTTCGATCCAATTAAATATCGTCACGTCATCTATTCGCAAATCATTATAAAAACGATTATGTACATGTCGCACAACCCTTTATCGAAATTATTTTAATTTCAATTAACACTATGTTTGACACCCATTTTATGGGAATGAAAATTTTTGGAATAGNCACCCGTTTTTAGGAGAATAAAATTTTTGGAATAGTGATTGATGGGAGAATGTGTGGTTGAAAAATTATGAAAAGTTTTAGATTTATGTGTAATATTATTTTATTGGGAGAATGTATGGTTGAAATGAAGAAAGAGAAAAAAATGAGAATGAGAATGAGAATAGAATGGGTGCCAAACAGGGGCTAAGTTGCTTGTACATTCACGATTGATATCTTGAATGACATTTTCTCTATGTATAATAAATCTGATCATTGATTGAAACTAATATTGTTAAAGTCAATGTATAAAAAATTATCAATTCACACAGTATCATTCATGATGTCAAACTTGATATACACCAAGCAAAACTGTTTTAATTTATTGAACAATGAATCAATGGGTCGAATATACCTCTCGTACAAAGTGCAACAATAAACAAGAAACAATAATGCTACTTGCAGAGGGTTAACTGATAGAAGCTTTGACGTGCTGCGTTGGCAATACCTGCATGAATCTTTTGTTTATATGTCAATGAAATAATGACACATAACCTCCTCATACTGTTTCACATAGGAGGGGGTGAAGAAATGATAATATTTTGCAAGGAAGTGCCAACTCAAAGGATGAGGAATACCAGCTTGCACCACTATGACCCCTTTGCCACTGGTCTATTCCCTCGTGATCTGGTGGTCAAAAGTGAACATTAGTCATTTACAAATATGCCCTTCTTTGCCAGACAGCTGGCCACGTTATATTGTTCAGATATGAGGGGATAAAAAGGGGACATTTATGATTTATGGAGAGAGTGAGATGTTTTTGTTCAATTTTTATTTTGTGTGGAAAAAAAAACTATTGAAAAATGACAGAAAGGAAATCTTTTTACATTGTATAATAGTACAAATGTTGTTATGGAAGTTTTTTAAAAAAGGGGTTGTCGTGATGTAAAAAGATATCCCAATTCTTGAAATAACTCGTGTCGATCTTCATTTTATTGAAAAAATTAAATTCTTTCTTTAAACTTGTAGTGCTCGACTTTGTCTAGGAGAAATTACTCGTGCTTTTAGGAGAAGTTGGTAACGGAGATACCTTTTCAAAGATATGTACTTCGAGTTGGACAGCTCTACGGACTTTACAAGGTATCTGCCTGCGTATTTTTATTTTTTTTCTTATTGCCTTTTCATATGAAACTTATAGATCAAAGATATTTCAATTTTAACCCCTAATTTTATTTCATTTTATTTTTTGTAATTTCTCCTTGAAAGATGGAAAAAAGTGTAGTCCAATGTACTACTAAGCCCATATCTAGTGGACCAATCTATCGAGTGATTTTTAAATGTGACAGTTAAGACATGCACTTTTTTTCATTAAATGAAAGTAGGTCAAACCATGTCTTTCAGTCGAGTAATGTTATTCATCCTTATTGGGAATGAAAACACAATTTACGTGACGTCAATGTGGCATTAAATGATAGGTGAAATTAAATAAGTCATTTCATTTCACCTTTCATTTAAACTATCATTTAAAACCACATAAACTGTGTTTTCATCCACACTGGGGATGAATAACATTATTCCTTTCAGTTTCCCTTCTCATCGTCCCCCTCCATGTGAGGGTCTCAACATTATTATGTACATAAAATTATGTACACGTAGGATATTCCTTATTATAAAATCTAACTAATTTAATCTACTATAAATATTTCGTTTTATATTTTCACGAATCATGATAAAGGGTAAAGTTATCTGTAAATTTTAAAAACTCAAATTCTTCGTTTCGATTTATAGAGCAATCATTTTCACCAGACTCATCTTCACACTGAATAATCAAATCTATAATGACAATAACTAGAAGCATTTATTGTTTCATGAAATCATTTATATTATCAACCGATATTATAAATATAATTACAAAAATAGAGACATGGATGGTTGTGTTAGATATCACAAATAAATTTTACATAAATAACATATAAGATTATATGACGAAGGTCATAAAGTCTAGTATGTCATTTCATTAGTCATACTGATAGTCGTATCAGAGATCACACCCGTATACCAAATTATTGCTCATATTTCTCTATACTAGTCATAGTAAAAGAAAGAAATAAACAATGTCACAACACATAAGTACATGTTTAAACTACGTTACGAAGAGATCACAATCTCATTCCGTTCGTATACACATATGGTTGCAAAGATTAGGAAGATATTAGGGATTTAAAATTTGGTTGATCCGGGACCCTTGTGGCTCAAAGGGAATTCCAGTCCCATCGACTGGTTAAGCGAGAATTGGTTATGGGTGTAGCTCTGTCGCGCCATCCCGACCATTTTACCTATGTTTGGTAGGTATTAAAATCAGATTTTTAGTAGATTTTGATAAAATTTGATGAAATTGGTAGTTGAAAAGTTGTGAAACCCATAAAACACGTGGTTAAAATTAGTTGTTGAATTTGTCTTAAATCAAAATCTAGATTTTAATCGATACCAAGAGTTTCATATCATTAGAAAGCAAAAAATATAAATTTTAAAGACAAAAAAATGTGTACAATAATAATAATTGCGTAGATGCATAGTCGAAAATTGAATTCAAGTGTACGTTTCATGAAACTTTTTGTTGATTATAAGCTATGAACCATACGGAATGTATAAATAAATAAAAAGGGATAAAATAGTAGATCCTACAGATTGTGTAAGTAAAAATGATCTTTTCTACCAGCTTACAAGCTTTAGAAGCATTGCCAAATATAATCAAAGACTTGCAATTTAAAAATGGGTCTATGGATAAATAACCAACTATTTTAAGGTGGTTTGTTTTATACTAAAAAAATAAAAACTAAAAAATGGGTCAATATATGTGATTTTTTCGCAATTACTTTTTATTACACATTTCGAAGGATGCACAGTACCATCAATTTATCCATCATTCATCTTTATTTATATATAATTTAAATCGTTTTTGACGCTCCCCAAACATACTCATTTTTTCTTATATAAAGATACTTAATAAAGCAAAAAAAAAAAAAATCAATTTTTTTTTTTTTGAAATACGTTGAAAATTAGCGGCACTTCGTCTAGTTTTTTAAATAGGAAAAATGATGACTTAGATTACAAGAATGAGTCTTACAAAGACCCAATATACTTCCTCGTTAAAAATAAGAGGTAGACCAAAATCAACATATTATGATATAGTTGCAAAAGGGTAATTCTTTTAGTAGATGTGATGTGGAGAATGAAATGATCGATAAAAAATATGACTTTATTTGATATTATTGTCATTGTAACAATTAAACTTCAAAGCATTTGAAATGAAAATAAATTTTCTTAAAACATGAATAAAATAATTTTCTTCAAAGCTCTTTTGCTGCCCCTTCTTGATCTCTCTCTTCAAATAGAATTAAGAAAGAACCATTGGTGATAAGATGAGAGAAGGTAAAGATAACATCAATGCATAATTATAAAATTCCATACTTTAAATATATCTTTTTTAATTGCCCATTTACATATCAATAATACTATTTATTATCATCATGATGAAATATCGATGATATGATCACACATAATCTTTCACATCTCTCTCTCTCTCTTCGCTCATAGAAATTGAACGGTCCAATCAATATAGATTGTCATATCACCAATATTCCATATAAATAGTATTATTCTTTACAGATATACCCAAATAATGCAGTCGCCAGTCATAATTGCAAAAGCGTACATGCAACTTAGCCCGTGTTTGACAATCATCATTTCAAAACTCTTTAATTCTCATACTCATTTTCAATCACATTTACAAAATAAAATATTTTGTATGTAAACTCAAATTTTTTTTTACATTTTTAATTTTTCAAAAAATCACTATTTTAAAATCTAATTTTCTCAAATAATGACCATCAAATCGGGGCTTGGTATCAAAAAATGATTTTGTGTATAATATTTAATAGGAATACTACAGAATTTTCATTTATTTTTTTCACTTACCTTTATTATAGTAAGATATAAACTGAGTAAAAATAGAAGGGAAAATGCACTTGTACAATCATTAAGGACGGTAAATTGTACAGTCCCCTCACATGAATGTGAGACTCACTAATTAATTAATGTAGCAGTTCTCAAAATAGAATTAATAAATTCTGAAGAATTAACTGTTGCCACGTGCCGCCCCGTACACCTCATAAGTCTTCAGACAACTCAATGAACTAGGTCCCGTCAAAACTGACAGCTAATCGTCGTACCATTAACTTGTGACCCTCAAGTTAACAAACGTGACAACCTCTCCTATTTCCAGTTCTCTTGCCAAAAATGTTCACTCATATGTCGAAAATTAGCCAAAAATAAATAAATAAATTGTACCCTTTTATAATAGGATTAAACTAGTTGTAATACGTTTTGATTGACACTCTATACGTGTCAAAAATTCTACGGTTAATTAAAGAATTTGTTATGATGATCAATGTACCAAAATCTGTCAACTTACATAAGTGTAAATCTATGTGTCAACTTTTATGTACATATAGTATGATCCTTTGTAATATTGGTCTACAAAAAAATGTACATATTATTTTGCTACACTTACATTTTGGTTGATATGCCATGACGTGACACAATTTTAGCATTAATTTTAACAACACTTAAAATAATCAATTGTCTTAATTTTCTACACATCATTAGATGTCAACCATGATGTAAAAACATTATGTACGAGTAGCTTAATTGTCTATAATTTTGGTATACAATAACACGTTTATGCTTGTGCTAGATATTTTCAGTGACAGAGTTAGACATTTTTGGTGTGGAGTCAAAACTCGAGATAATTTTTTTTTTTCTAAACAACTTTTCTCTTACTCGTTTCACCAATATTTTACTTTTTGCTCGAAAATGAAGATTTTTGTTTAGAATATTTTTCCATAATTGTTGAACATGAAGTTCAACAAATAAATGAAATGGTCTCAAAATTTCATTAAACCAAAATAGAAACAAAAAATTTCATAAAAACTAAAAATCTAACATTGATTTCCAATATTCTATAAAATTTATTTAGTAGTTCAATCCTATTCAGTACGCTTAGCTTAGAAGTGTGGTCTAAGTTGAAACTTGACATGGCACAATTTTTATTAATAAAAATAATAATTATTTGGTAAAAATGACAAATCTACGACTTGAGGAAAAAAGCGATTTGGGGATCGAGAAAAGTTGAAATGTTGATGTAAAATATATATTTATTGGGCGTTTGTGAACTTTATTGCCGTAGTTGGTTAAAAATTTTAATTTTATAGATCGTAAACTTTATTGCCACATAGAGTAGTGTGCTAAATGGACTTATTCTTATAAAAATATGAGTAAGTTCAAGTTTACATTCCAGTCTAATCTAACTTCATAAAACATAGCCGATCTAATGGGGACTTAAGATGGATTCTTTGATTGTAAAATGACTTTGATATTAGAATAAAAAAGTTAAATACCAACTCGCTCTTTTTTTATTTTCTTGGACGAACTTGTTCTAAATTAACAGATTCAGACCACAGTTGAGGTTTGCTAAATGGGAAAATCAGAAAATGTCACTTGGCACATTGTTTTTTGATATTACGGTTGACAAAACAAGTGTTGATTGGATAAAAAAATTGTTGAAGATTTAAGTTGCTTAATGATATGCCGTCACGTGACAAATGATGATGTACACGTAGCATTGTTGCTGAATGTCATTGCTAAAAATTAGTGAAGACGAGTAATTTAGCCAACTGTCTGCTCTTCTGCCTCTCTGTCTTTCTCCATTATTATATATTACTACACACACTCACCCTCTCTCTCTCTCTCTCTCTCTCTCTTCAGCTTTATATATACACTATACTCCTCTCCTCTCAAACCCCCCTCTCGCCCCCCTACCCACGCCATCCCTCATATAGAAGTTTTTGGGTGGTTCTTCAGAGAACTCTCTCTCTCTCTCTCTCTCTCTGGTATATACATACAATATATTCAAGCATACACTTTGAGAATGACGATGAGCAACAACAATGGAATGGGCGACACAACGTTGACAAAAGTGTTTGTCGGAGGTTTAGCATGGGAAACTCCCAAAGAAGCCATGAAAGA